TCTTAGAACAAGCTCCTATAAAACAAATTAAATGCCTTAGTTAGACATATCTTTAACAAACCAAACCAACCCCCAGAGAGAGAGAGAGAGAGAGAGAGACATGAAATCTAGAGCAGGATAGGCATGTAGTACTTGGTCTCTGAGAAACACACTTAAAGATATTGTAGATAGCATTTCAAGCTTTAAAATCAGTCACGATCATTTTGGCCATAAAACAGAAGGGAGAGCTATCCAATCCCATATATTACCTTAAGATTGTGAAGGAATTATTCAAATCAAACATATTAAACTTGGATTCTGATAAAGAAGAATAAGCAAGCAGATGCATGTATGTGACTTTATGTACAGCAATGGACAGATCTTGAATTGTTTCAAATTAGTTATGAGAGTGCTTACTGCATCACCAAAGCAATTTTAGTAGAAGTGAGATAAAAATGACTTACTGATAATACATCCTCCTTTGCGTGCTATGATCATCGTAAAAATAATAAAAGCAAATAGAATTTCCATGATGGAGAATACATAAGACGAAACCCAAGACTAAAGCATCCAAGTGCTGAAATTATATGCTAAACCCTTCCCTGGATTTATTCAGCTGCCCAAAAGTTCTAGCAAGATGACACCATAAACACGAAAGCTTAAATATGAACAACAACAGAAACAACCACCAAGGAAGATAAAAGTAAACCCTCGTATTGGAGTTAAGAATGAAAAGGAAATTCAATCCACAGCCCACAAAATAGTTAATATCGTGTAATGGAATACATAACGAATGAGAACGAAACTAAATGCCAAGTAATATACATTCAATCTAAATATGTTAATTAAAGACGTTTTAACTTAATCAGCCATAGCAAAGCTATATTTGCTAAGCATAAATTCTTGTATATTCTTGATGGCAAAACCAGTTTTACACCATTTTTCTACCTAAACTTTAACCATCAAAATAAGTTTTTGGAGCGTCCCACTGGGTTCCTAAAACTCATTCAAAGTATCGCTTTGCATTTCAACTTCACCTTTTCTTATGAACGGGAAATTAAAATAAACAGGTGAAGATTAATAGAGAACCAAAAACCCGCGAATCGTTAGGCTAATTCAGCCCAACCATCCATTTAATTCAGAGAAAAAAGATTAATAGCTCGGCTAAATTAATCAGGGTGATGAAAACGAACAATACTTCGAGGTCAGCAATGAGGTGCGAGGTGGCAAGGGGCTCGACGCCGGAGTCGTCAAAAAGGTTCTGGCGAAGAGAGAGCTTCTTGAGGTTGGAGAGTTGGGCAATACGGGGGTCCAGCTTGGACAAACGGTTGGCGGTTAAGTCTAACTCGGTGAGACTCGGAGGGAGGTCGACTGAGTCGAGATCACGGAGCTGGTAGCTGGTGAGATCGAGTACTGTCGGGTTCTCACCCCCGTCGGCCATCGGAGAGTCCATTGGATTAAGATTCAAAGATTAAATACGACGCCGGAGAAAGCAAGGAGGATAGGGCCGAGAATAATAGAACATCGATGAAAAAATGTATAGAAGTTTCTGCCTTTCAGGAGGGATGGCTTTAGCAGGATTTAGGAGCTGGCCAGGTCGCCAACAGGAAAAATAATCTGTTCTTTACGGATAAAAGAGCTCATGCTGGTTAGCGGAAGAAATCGCGCTGATTTTCGAGCACGACTTCTGGTTTCTGCATAACTTTGAATTCAATTTATACTTTTATTTTGGTGGAGAGCGGAGAAATAGATAATTTACAACTTGATGCCCAATTTGCCTTGATTTTTGTAAAAGTTTTCCACCCAGTTCAGAATTTTATTGGACTTGTTTTCCTACTTGCACCATCAAATTATTTCTTTCTTTTTTTTCTACTTTGGTATTTGTGAGGATACTTTTTTTTTCCGATAAATTTTCAAGAAATTCTGGATTAAAATATAAGACAACGGATTTGATCCTTTATCCTACACCCAATAAGTGCTTTAAGACTCTCTGATGGGTTCTGAGGATACATGCATTGCCCCGTTTTATTCAATTGTGGCTGCCAAACTATCATCGAATGTGTTAATAATATTACTAAGTTGTGAAGTGAACTACGGGCCTGTTTGGAAGTGAGTTTTTTGTCCAAGTTTTTTACCTACGTTTTTTAACAACTTTTGCTACAGAAACCCTAAAAAACTTCTCAAAACTTTTTACCTACACACTTCAAAAAATACAAAAAAAAAAACTTTCCCTTCAAACTTTTTTTCTTTTTCCTCCCCCACCCAACCCACCACATCCTCCGCCGCCGGCCACCACCTCCACCATCACTTCCGACATCAGTTACTATTCCGGCGGCTAGTTCTGGCCATACACAAAGTTTTTTTTTTCTTTCCCTCCTCCCTACCCTCTTCCCCTCTGCCTCCCCTGCCCCCTTCCCCCTCCCCCTTTCAAACGGTTTTAAATCCTTCATTTTCAAACACAAAAAATGAACATAGAACGCCAAGAACCGAACAAGCAAAATCATAGCCTAGAAAAAGCAAAAAAGTCCAGAATGGAGGAATTTGACATCAAATTCAACGTGATGGTTTCCTTATTCAATTGGATGCAGAAGAGCAAATCCTCCTCGACAAAGCGTTCCAAGTTCCGTAAATTCCTCGATGCTTTTTGCCGGAAACCTGGGGACTATTTTAGCGCCGTCCGCGAGGTGGCGGGAGGAGGGGGTCGCGCTGGGGAAAGGGCAGGGGGGTGGCAGGGGAGGTGGTGGGAGAAGTTGGGGAAAGGGCAGGGGATGGGCGGCGGGAAGAAGAGTGGCGGGAGAAGCTGGGGAAAAGGCAGAGGGTGGCGGGGGGGGGAAGTGGCGGGAGAAGCTGGGGAAAAGGCAGGGGATGGCGGGGGTCATGTTGGCAGAGGAAAGGGTAGGGGGCTGGCGGGGGGAGGGGGAAGGGGCATAGGGGGTAACGGGGGGGAAGGGGTCGAGGTGGCAGAGGGGGAAGGGGCACAGGGGGTGGCGGGGAGGGGAGGAGGTCACGGTGGTGGGAGGAGAAGGGGAAAGGGAGGAGAGGGGTGGCGGGCGTGACGGCTGCTGGGAGATAACGGGGAGGAAAGAAAGAAAGAAGAAAAAGAAAAAAGAAGAAGAAGAAAAAGGAGAAGAGAGGAAAGAAAAGAAAAAGGAAAGAAAGAAAAGAAAAGAGAAGAAAAAAAAAAGAAAAGGAAAAAAAAGTTTTTCACTCTACAAAAATTTCTACAAAATTTTGCACCTTACAAAAAAAATTTTCACCTTATAAAAACTTCTACAAAATTTTTTCAAAAACTTCTACAGTGCACTACAGTAAAGTTTTAGACAAATTCCCAAAAAACTCAGGTTCCAAACAGGCCCTACTACATTTTTATGAAACATCACCATGCCAAAGAACCAAAAACTTGTTCGCAAAACCGAAGAGTACACTCAATAATATATACTTCCTCCATCCCACTTTGATATTCCTGTTTTTTTTTCACACAATTTAAGAAAAATTAGTTAATTTTGTTGAAAAAGTAAATTTAGATTGCTATTTTTCTAAAATACCCTCACATTAAATAGAGTACAATTTTATAGGAACTTGAATTGATGGTAAAAAAAGAATCAACTCTCATTAAATGGGGTAGGTTTATAGTAACAACAACTTACATTAAATAAGGGTATTTTAGGAAAATTAAAATATAACTACATTCTTCAATTGGAAAGTGGACTACAATTTGGGACAGACGAAAAAGGAAAACAGGACTATCAAAGTGGGACGGAGGGAGTATACATATATTTTTGTCAATCATCACTTTTTTTATAGTATCCTAAACTATTCTAATTTAAGAAGGAGACCCAACCGAATCTAGGGGATCGATGGAGATTGAACTACCATCAAACCAGACGAGTGTACTATACACACATCTAAATTTTTTAAGAGGCCACTTAACGTGACAATTGGTGGAAAACAAGGTCACCAAGTCTTAAATAACTTAGTAGTGGCCACCAATCCAAAGGTTGGTGATTTAATAACATGTTGGTTGGCGTTATATTTAGTCATCGACAGATACAAAAATAGTACACCACAGTACCACAGGATGTTATGTTGGTAGTAGTTGGTACATTCGTATGGTAGCAATCAAGCATTTGAAACTAATGGAGATCAGAGTTACATACTTGTACAACTGCTTTGAAAACCTCACTTATATACAAATAAGTGAACTCCACACCGAAATATAACTGTGAAATGAATGGGTGGTTGGTGAGCTTAGCTCAACTCGGATAGTATAAATTCGAATTTAGCTCATTCATTTAATTAAATGAATTGAATTTAAACATTAAATTAGACGTCTCAATGAGTCGAGTTAGAATAGTTCATTTAAGTTCGTCTACGTTTGTTTTGTATATTTATTTGAGCTCATGTAACTAATTTTTCTTAATAATTATGCAAATTTACCTTGTCTTGATTGTTTAGAATTTTGTTTTATTTAAATATTTTTGAGAATTTTCTTATATTCTTTGAAATATTTCTCATTTAATAGCAAATTAAATTGGTTGTATTTTTTGAATTGTAAAATTGTATAAGATATTTAAACACATTTAAGTTTTTTTTAGTTCAAGGTCGGCTCATTTATGTCATATAAGTCAAGTTCGAGTTTGGAATTGAATTGAGGATAATTTGAATGAGCTGATTAGCTAAAGTCAAACACAAATTTTGACTCATTATATAAATGAGTTGAACCGAACACAAAAATTTAATGAGTCGAGTTTGAATGCTATAATATTGACTTAACTCATCTCGTTCTCGTTTAGTGCTCTACTTCCAAAATCATCAAATACTAACCAATAAATAAAGTCCAAAAACAAAATTCTGATTATTCCTTTTCATTTTCTCCCATCGAAATATGAAAATTTAAAAATGCCAAAATAGGCCACTATTTGCTAGTACAGGGAAAAAAATCAAAAAATCAAAAAACCAAAATTCCTCGGTAAGCTATAAAAACCGAAACAAACAGCGCCTTTTCTCGATCAATCTGCGGCATGAACCACCACCACCACTACCACTACCACGGCGGGACTGCGGCCACATGACATTCCTCCCTTACGTCCCCCGCACGTTGGTCGGCACTCTAATCCCCAAGTACCTAGTAATAATTAGCCGTACAATTTCTGCTCAAGCCGCAGTTAGCAATGCTAACTTCAATCCCATCCCACGACCGCCAAACCAGCCCACTGAAGATTATGCAAAAACCATAGCAACCCAAATCTCAAAGTGCACTAATTTGAAACAGCTTAACCAAATCCACGCTCACATCACGCGCACCCACTTTTTAGCATTGTACCCAGTTTCATTTCATTATAACAATCTAATGAGATCGTATGCCAATCTAAATTCACCCGTAAAGGCTCACCATTTGTTTGTTGAAATGTCCCGAGCTGGTATTACAGTAGACACATTTACACTACCAATTGTACTAAAATCCGTGTCCCAATATTTTTATTCATCGATGTTAAGACAGGTTCACGGGATGGCAATTAAGTTGGGGCTAGAGAAAAATATGTATTGTGAGAGTGGGTTGATAAGTTTGTATTGTAAGGCGGGTGAGTTTCGAAACGCCCATAAATTGTTTGATGAAAATACCGACAGGAAGTTGGGTTCCTGGAATGCTTTGATTGCTGGCTTGTCACAAAGTGGGCGTGGGAAGGAAGCGATAAGGATGTTTATGCAATTGAAAGAATGTGGGTTTCAGCCTGATGATGTTACGATGGTTAGTGTAACTTCTGCTTGTGGAGGTTTAGGGGATGTGAATTTAGCACTTCAGTTGCATAAATGTGTGTTTCAAGCAAAAAGTTTGGAAAAGTTGGATTTGTTGATGATGAATTCACTTATTGATATGCATGGAAAGTGTGGTAGAATGGATTTGGCTAACAAGGTGTTTATGAAGATGGAAGAAAGAAATGTGTCATCCTGGACATCTATGATTGTCGGCTATGCAATGCATGGGCACGTCAGGGATGCACTAGAGTGCTTCCATGATATGAGAAATGCTGGAGTGAAGCCTAACCATGTAACATTTGTTGGAGTGTTGAGTGCATGTGTTCACGGTGGGAGGGTGCAGGAGGGAAAACATTATTTCAAGATGATGAAGAATGAGTATGGGATTGCTCCCATGTTGCAACATTATGGATGCATGGTGGATTTGCTAGGCCGGGGAGGTTTACTTGATGAAGCTAGGGTCATGGTGGAAGAGATGCAAATGAAACCTAATGTGGTCATTTGGGGTTGTTTGATGGGTGCCTCTGAGAAATATGGAGCTGTTGAGATGGGAGAGTGGGTAGCTAAGCACTTGCTTGAGTTGGAACCTTGGAATGATGGGGTATACGTGGTTTTATCCAATATCTATGCTAGTAATGATCTGTGGGAAGAGGTAGAAAGAATAAGAGGGATTATGAAGGAGAGAAAACTGGCTAAGATTCCAGCTTATAGCTTATCCACTAGCACTGGTTGAAATCCACTAGATTAGCATGCATTGGTTTTCTTTTAATTTATCCTTTTATCAGATGCAGTTTTAATTGGACTATTTGTGATTAACTGACTTTCACAAATCTGAACTCTTCTCGCCATGCTTCTGTTTACTTGCTATTTGTCCCGTGAGTTTTTCCTAGGAGATGTTAGATTTTGGATAAGGACAAAGGAGAGCAAGACAAAATAAAGTTGAAGCTCCTTGTATACGGGACATAAATATGAATTGCCAGCATTCATCCTCACACAGCTGGTTTCTTGATGCCATGAAGTTTCTGAGAAATCTTAGATGGACAGCATGCAGAAAGGTTATTTCTGGTCTTGCAGCTGGAAAACAATGCTAACATGTTCAGTTCTAGGTCTGACTTACTAGCATTTTGTTCCTCCTAGACTATGCGTGGGTAAACAGTGTTGGATCACATGATTTATTTTCTGCCTTTGCTTCTCTTCTATTCCAGTTGTTTCAAATGAGCATCATTAATACGCATGATTGATAACATTGGATGCAGATTGAAGCAGTTCAAGTTGTCAAGATGTTAACACTGTGAATGTACATTGATTGACTTAAAAATATTTCGTATTTATAATATCTTTGAACAGAGAATTTTCTCCACCTGGTAGAGAATGATATACCATGTTGTATAGGCATTGGAAATAAGTATAGCCCAGGTCAGGGATAAGTAAATTCCAAAAATGATTTCAAAGTAGATCATGGATGAAATTTGGAGTGATATGATATAGAGATCATCTCTTATCATTTCAGGTTTTATTTCTGATTGTTTGGTTGTGAGCAAGTGCTTAGTTTACCGAGTATTTATTATTTTGGTTTTGTCACAGTTACGCACTGAGCACCCTGCAACATTCACAAGTCTGCTGACGTTTTTCTGTTTCTTGGTCCTGCTGTGGTTGCCCCCTTTTTACATTAATCCTTGTCAAGGGAACTGTTAGAGCTTGTTTCAACTCTGATGTTGAAAGCGTATCAACTCCAAGGATATGAGCCTGGAGATGTATAGCTCATTATTGATTGGTTATACTGGCAATTAGATGGGCTATTATTTACTTGGCACCATGTTTTGGCATATCTAAGCATTTTATACTTGAGAACAAAGAATAGAGAAACTCATGTAAGAATGAAGACGAGTGATTTCTTAGGTGTACAAAAGTATGTTTGTGAAACACATGTTAACTATGGCTATGTCAAGTTAGTGTTCTTAATTAGTACCATCCATAAATGACCGGACAATGTAACTCATGTAAATATTACAAGATGTCAACTTGGTATATGAACACAGTTGAAAGTCTGAATTCTGTTCATCATGAGATGTTTGTAAATTACAATTCAAGTTGTTGGAGGTCCATTAATCATGTCAGATTTAGTATCTTTACTTCTTTGCTCATGTTTTTTCTATCTGCCTCTATTCGGCATTTATTCCCATCACTTGGTTTGCGAGGTTTCTTCCCTTTAGGGCCAATGATGTTCAAATTTATTTGGGGCACATCTGGGGAGATTTCCACTTTTCTATTTTTCCAGCTTGTTTAACATTTTTCTGGGAAATGAGTCTATGCACCGTTATTTCCTTGGCGTCTTGCATTACTTCCTATTATGGTTAAGAAGCTAAAAGGCTTCTTTGTCTTGACCAAATTGTTAAAGCTTATTAACTAGAAAACTGCCCTTCTATGTCAATGAATATGACTGTAAGGTTCTAGTCTATCGCATTTTTTTTTTCATGGCATGTATTTCTGCAGATGTAAAGTGAAATAGTGAAGACATGATCCAGCTGACCTTGGCTGGTTTTTTGTGAAGTTAAAATTCAACTTTGGCTTGTCTATATGCTGCACTTGAAGTATCACGGCAGCTATATTTTCTGGACATGGAATATGATTCTTGATGATCAGCTTAAAATAATGTTGGGTTCCATTTGCTATGGCATGAATCTTTTGGTTCAGAGCGAGAGGCAAATAAGCAGTCATAATCACTGCATTTGGCAAGTAGCAGGTCAAATAGATTCTGTCTTCTGGAGATAGCCATTTGATAATATTAGATTTTGATAATAATTGAATAGCTCAGTTGCCATTTCACTGATATCTGGAATTCCTCATGTATCATTTTGGTTCTGATTAATTTCACCCCTTCCAATGTTCTTAAATTCCTAGTATTCCTTAACAGAAAACAACTTAGATGAAAAGAGTTGTCTGATTCCAAGTTTGTATATTATTTTTTAATTGCTTCAAGTTTTGACTCTTGTAATGTGGTTTAGTTGTTGCTATTCAACTGTCCTTTAGTAATTAAAGTACTTCATTTGTTGTTATTACCCAAAACCCCTTCCCAATTCTGGAATTTTCTGTTTAGACTTGGTTGCAAAAGTGTATTTATTGATGTGCTGTGCTTTTGGATATGATGGGTTGATGTAAATGAAAATAAATCACAAAAAACTCCTGCAAATTTCTGTGAATGATGAGACTAGATGCTAAAAAACCTTTGAATATTGGATTTGCTGCAAGCAAGAGTAACGAGATTTATAGATGCTGTGGTTCCTCTGCCTCATTGATTTTGATCGTGTGTTACCTTTTACCTTCATTTTGTGGTCCCTTCGACCCCTAAACCTTTCTCATTTTGCATTTTGATGTGACTTTGATACCAGAAGTTCTGCTGTTAATGCATCCTTCACTGCAATTCTTGTTTCAAAAGTATTGGGTGCCTTAGAAACCAATCCACTTCAGAGAATTGTTTGACTGGTGAACAGGTCACAATCAGTGGGAGACACGTGAAAAGAGTTTTCTTGTAAAAGATCTACAAGGCACTGAAGAATGGTGAAGTCATGTTGGATGAAGTGCTTTATAGCACGGAAGAACCAAAGAGAACTTTGTCAAGACCAACATGAAGGACTAGAATCATGAAACCATATTTCAGAGTGCTGGTTGTGAAGCTCCGGATTTGATGGTTGTGAAGCATGGCAATTTCATGAGCACTAGGCATGAACTAGGAAGCCAGGTATGTTATGCAGAAATTTGCTTTAAAGTGAACAGTCCTTTGGTTGGTATTGGCGTACAGGCATGCTCTACTATTTCACTGGTCCAAGAAAAATAGAGAGGAACCTAGTGAAGTCATAATATTCAATGGGATCTTCAAAAAAAGTTCGTTGGTATTAAAACAGCACATTAACAGTTTGGTTGTTGGATCAAAATAATGCTCTTTACCTGCGTGGAACTTGACTAAAGTGCATAAAACAAGCGTAGCTGCATTCTTTGGGCTTATTAATGTACAGCGACTTTTCCCCCCAATTTGAAGGTTGGATATATAATACATCGTTTTCCATATAATGATGAAAATGCCCGTCTTGAGGAATTTGTAAACTGAGAAGATGATTAATGCAAGCCGACCCACTAATCTGTCCCTTTTCTAGCGTTCTTTTTAAGCAATTGATTGGATCAATCATTGAAACTGGAGGCTAAATGCAACTAACCTCTCAAAATTCAATATAGACCTCTCATCCCTTGAGTTTGTTAAAGAGTTAACTTGAAGGTAAACTAGTGGATTGGCCTACTAAGATGAGAAGGTCGGACAATAAATGAGGATGCAGCCGGATAATAGGGGCTGTGCAATATGTGGCATTTGCTATATGTTAGCCTTTCTTAATATTCCGTTTGGAAAGTCCGTGAGAACTTCCTCCACTGCTTCTTGAATTGTCTATGTCGTCACCCCAATTAGTTTTTTCAAGTTGTTTTTTTATCAGAGGTTGTCACAAGATTAACTGGTCTTTTAAATTTCTGTACTAGATCAGGTTACCGGTGACATGACTATTGTCTTGTATCATGTAATATTGCATTAATTGTTGTTCTTGCAACAGCAAAACAACCTGATAAAAATGGAATGATATATGAACAGGTGGGGAAAGCAAGAAGAATAGAGATCAAGGGCAACGAAAGATTTGACTCGGGTATGCTTTAAGCTGTTGTGATAAACTTGCTTTCTGCTTCAATCCAGCGGCTACATTGCAGTCAATTTATGGCTTACTGAGGTCCGCAAAGACAAGACGGCAAGCCTGTGCCACGCGGTGGTCTCGGAGAGAAGTAGCTGCGCATTTGAATTATTAGGCTAAGAACAAGGTTTTTTGTTTATAGAACAGTAAAATTAGTTGAGAGTCTTTTAAGAAACTTGTACCCCAGTGTCAAGTTGCTCAATGATTAGAAGGTGCATTAACTGAAAGTCTGCGGGCAAATTCAGGAGGACATAGACAAGGACATGAAAATCCCGTCCTTAAGTGTATGTCTTTCTTCGGACCACCAATAATTTAGGACTCAAATATCTAATCTATTATTATTTCGATCCCTCCGTCTAGAGAGTCAATGGGGAAACTTCTCTGTGGTGGGAAAAAAATGGCTCCTTGCCTTGATATTTTTTCCTCCCCCAAGACTTGGGATGGATGCAATAATCAGTTTGAGAATTTCGCAATTGCTCTTCTCTTCTCACGCCATTTCAAAATACTTTTATCATCTTGCACTTCCGTAGGATGACTGATTACCGTTCTTATGTGCCTTGGAAAGGTCGTAATCTAATGATCCGTTCTCCCTTGGGCAGCTTATTCAGATATCGGGTTAAAGAAGCGGTTGTTGAAGTTCCTGAAATCGGGTTAAAGAATCGGGTACATGCGTATGCGGGGCAAGCAAAGAGGAATCAAATGGTTTAGGATTAAATTACTAAAACGCATACGTTCCTCAACAAAACCAATGGCCAGCTGCTGAACACCAAATCCTCCACCTGAATTATTTAACAAGGAGTAAACATCATGGGGTAGCCCAAAACGACGTTTCTTCCTCTTTTCCATTTCTTTTGTGTTAAATAATTGTTTGCAGTTTGATTTAATTGGAGAAAGGGTCGTGTCAATGACAGACATAATCAATAAAATTAATAGTATGATAACAGTTATTAAGTCTACACTTTTCTAAATGACCGGAAAGCGAAATTAAGTAGACCCCGTGATAAAAGTCTTCGTTCCTTTTTTTTTTTTTTTTTTTTTTTTTTTTTCTTTTAACAATCTCGTTAAAACCAGAAGAACTACGCAACCAAGCTTT